CAGAATTTGAAATGACTGATATGGGTAAGCTAGCATACTTTCTTGGCATTGAATTCGCTCAAGTCAATGAGGGAATGTTGATGCATCAAAGAAAGTACATTCACGATGTCTTAGTGAAGTTCAGAATGATGAATTGTAATGCAGCAGAGACACCAGCAGAGGTAAATTTGAAGCTTGATAGGGCTAAAAATGAAGATGCAGTTGACAGCACTCTGTATAGACAGATGGTTGGCTGTTTGAGATTTGTATGCCACACAAGACCTGAAATCTCATATAGTGTTGGATTGGTGAGTAGATTTATGAATGATCCAAGAAAATCACACCTTGTAGCAGTTAAGAGGATCCTAAGATATTTGAAAGGCACAAGCAAATTTGGGATTCTCTTCTCCAATCAGCCATCAAAATGCAGCCTGCAGTTTGTAGCTTACTCAGATTCAGATTGGAGTGGTGATATGCTTGAAAGGAAGAGCACTATGGGCTATGTTTTCATGCTCTATGGATCTCCTATTTCATGGTGTTCTAAGAGGCAAGAAGTGGTGGCTTTATCTACTTGTGAAGCTGAGTATATCTCAGCTTGTCATGCAGCCTGCCAAGCCTTATGGCTAATCTCACTGCTGGAAGAATGGAAGCTTGGCTTTAATGGAACTATAGAGCTGCAAGTTGACAATAAATCTGCCATCAATCTTGCTAAGAACCCAGTTGCACATGGGAGAAGCAAACATATTGAGAGGAAATACCATTTTCTTAGAAATCAAGTTGGAAAAGGGAAGATCAACTTGAAACATTGCATATCAGAATTTCAAGTTCCTGATGTGATGACAAAGCCACTCAAAGCAGAAAGATTTAGAGAGTTAAGAAGACTTTTGGATGTTGTAGAGTGTAGTTTATAGTATAGATTAAGTGGGAGTGTTAGAAATAATCCATACTATAAATAGAAGTTAGTTGAAGTTAGTTGAATATGAAGTTCTATAAATAGAGTATATGTGTATCTACCATTTTTCAATGCATATGAAGTATTCATTCAATTACTCTCTCATATAACTCTCTTTCTCTCCAACCTATCTCTAATCCATAAGCTTTCTTTCTTCTCTGTTTTACTGCAACATACTCCAACAATACAAGTATATGTACTTTTGGAATGGAGAAGGGAAAATAAAGGGATACCAACAAATGCATGAATCTCTCACACACACAATAATAAACATTAGAGTGATTTAAAAAATTATAGCTGATTAAAATTTATTAACAGTAATAAATTATAATTTAATATAATTATTTATTTTATGACCCACGAAAAATATTGTAAGTATATCAAGTAATCACTCAAATGTAAAAATATGTTTAAATTCAACTATTGTAAGTATATCAAGTAAGCACTACATCACTACATGGATAATCAACTATTGTAGTTTAAATTATAATATTTATCGATTTATTTGTTTACAAAATATTAAAGTTATATTAGTTATAGTATCAGTTGACTTTAAAAAATAATATGTTTTATAGATCTCATTACTTAATAGTTTGATAGTAATACCGTAACATATTACGTATAAACTAATCCATATTACGGAAAAAATAAGTCTTACTAACTATAAAAGAAATATGGATAGTATTACCGTAACATATTAAGCATAAACTAATCCAATATAATCTTTACACCATTTTTAATTTTTTTTCTTTTTTGCATTACAAGATAAAATATTTTTTTTGAACATTTTGGTATTTAAAATTACCTAAAACATTGAATTGATGTTAAGAGAATTAATAATATTTCTAAAAACATATTACATAGTCATGAAAACGATATGAATAGTTATTTTATTTGCGAGAATAAAATATGTGCCTTAGATATTAGATATTCATATATAAGTGCTTGTGATAAAGAGAACAATTAGATATTACATCTGTGTTGGTTGTCTAATTTGACTTCGTCAATCAAGCAATCTTATTTATTTTTAAGATAAACCATTTGAATCCTAAAATTATGCTATGTGGAAAAATATTAGATTAGGAAAAAATTATACGAATATTGGATTAGCTAAGAATTATGAAAAAGATTAGATTAAATACGAAATAAAGATTTTATTGTGCAAAAACTTACAAAAGGTAACAAATGATTTTAAGTGTAAATTATGGGTTTATAACAATTAATTAAGATTCTGATTGTTTTATGAGATTATTTGAGAGTTTTATGAGATTAAGATTCTGATTGGATACAATTTAACACATTATCACATCAACAAAACCCAATTTTGTATAGAAATACCATAGAGTGGGATATGAAATTTCATTAATAATTTGCTATTCCAAAGAGTGAAATTAAGATCATGGCAAGTCCTAGTGAATCATCTCAATGGTCAACTCTTCCTAAGAATCTGTTAAAAGAAATCACAAATAGGTTACCTAAACCTTGTGATTATGTTCGATTTGGTGCTGTGTGCAAAGGGTGGCATTCCTTTGTCCACAAAAGTTACAAGCAGAAGCATCTTCTCCATGTCCACCAAAACATTCCCCTACTCTTATTCCCAACTCAAGACCAAGAACTGCGTTGTTTGTATAACATCACTCAAGGTATGGTTTACAATCAATTTCAATTTAACTTGCCTAATAAAAGATGTTGTGGTTCATCATATGGATGGTTATTTTTCGTGGACAAAATGAATAAATCCACGTTGGATCTCATTCTCATAAATCCTTTCTTGGGTCATAGTAAAACCATCAAACTCCCACCAATCAAATTTTGTTATGAGCATGCAGTTGATAGGATGGATCAGTATAGAGTTCTAAAGGTTATTTTCTCAAAAGATCCTAATGTGTTCCCTCGGGATTATGAAGTTGTAGCACTGTATGGTATGTTTGCAAGATTAGCACATTATAAGTCTGGTGACAAATTTTGGAGCTATGCCAAAGTAATTAAAATGGAAGCACTCTCAGATGTTATCTTTTACAAGGATCTTATATTGGCTGTCAATAGATATAATTGGATTGTAAATTTTACTCTAGAACCAAAAAGAAGAATACAAAGTACAAATTGCTCACCTTCGTATTTGAAGCGGAACACCCTTATGAAGCAACTCCCAAGGAAGTTAAGAAATTGTGCAGGAAATGCTTATCTTGTGGAAAATTCCGAAGGAAATTTACTACTTGTTCGAAGGTGTTTTTGGGGTGAAGATATGATTGCCTCTAAGGAAGAGGAACTCAGCTCAATTGTGGATTTCAAAGTGTATAGACTATATTGTTCATCAAGCGGTAAAGAATTGAGAAAGGAGAGAACAAGAACATTGAATGGGAAAACCATATTCTTAGGGGATAATAATTCTATATCAGTTCCAACTTCAAAATATCCTCAACTTCAACCAAATTCAATCTATTACATTGATTATTACTATGTTGTGTATATAAGGAATTATCAATTTGGGTCATGTGACACTGGCATCTTCAACTTAGAGAATGGAAATTTTGATAAACATTATGTTCCAAATTTCTAAACAAAACAAAAGGCATGTCACCTCCAATTTTTGTTGTTCCAGACTAAAAGATATCATAATTTTTTTTGTTTATTATTTGTTTGTTTAAGTATTAAGCTATATCCTTATTGGATGAAGGACTATGATATTGATTAAGTAGTTTAGATAAGTATTTATCTTCAATAAAATGCACACAAGTGTAGGACTAATAATCCTACCAGACAAATAGTAATCCTAAATTAGTAATTACTAATTCTCTATGTAAGGCATTGACCTTTTCTCATCAGAGTATGAATAAACTTGAGCATTGGTTATTTTCTTTTACTCTACCAATCACACCCTACCAGTAATAAACTTGAGCATTGTAAGAACCCAAAATTTACCCCTTGAAAATTTTTCATTTCATTAAACCCTAGCGTCTACCGTATACAATTAGCTATGGGTTTCCAAAATACCCATGGCTACATATATGCGGAATTGCAATCAATCGTATAAGTCATATATCCATAGTTACAAAATATTCCCAAAATAATTCAATAAGCACTCATATACAAAATAGTGCAAATAAAGAAATTCCAAAACATAAGCTCCCTAAGCTCCCCCAAAAATGAGTCCCCCTCATGTCACCTGTTTATCTGCAATGGGATTATCAATGACAAGAACACAAACACGCAAAGGAGTAAGTCGTTAATTCAATAAACGTCATTATAAGATAATCCACATTAGAATAAGGGGTTAGTAAACCATTTTCGAAATTCATTTTATCTTGCTGCATAACTTGAGCCAAAGTCGCTATACCCCTTAGGATTAGCTAAAAGCAGAATCTCGTTTCTCTTAAAACAAATCACGCTTATATACTCAAGCCAGAGTCGCTAACCATTCATGGTCGGCTAAAACATATTTTCCTTTCATCGATCTTCTCATAAATCATTTTCATGCTTCTATACTCAAGCCAGAGTGTATGCTTCTATACTCAAGCCAGAGTGCATGCTTCTATACTCAAGCCAGAGTGTATGCTTCTATACTCAAGCCAGAGTGTATGCTTCTATACTCAAGCCAGAGTGTATGCTTCTATACTCAAGCCAGAGTGTATGCTTCTATACTCAAGCCAGAGTTTACGCTTCTATACTCAAGCCAGAGTCGCTAACCATTCATGGTCGGCTAAAACATATTTTGGAGCTATGCCAAAGTAATTAAAATGAAATCACTCTCAGATGTTATCTTTTACAAGGATCTTATTATGGGTGTTGATAGATATAATTGGATTATAAATTTTACTCTTGAACCAAAAAGAAGTATACGAGGTACAAATTGCTCACATTCGTATTTGAAGCGGAACACCCTTATGAAGCGTGTAACGCCTCAAATAATAACGCGAAAAATTACCATTATTTACTAACATAATAAAAATCACATATCTTTTAAAACCTTCACTTCAACCAGAACATACTCCATATAGTATAGATAAAGCGATAGTAGAAAAATAATACAGTAATTCCACCATTAGTCTAATTAACTAAACAACAAAAACCTGGATAAAATTCCCATGAAAGGGTCCAATGTCAACAATTGCAAAATCCTTAGAATAACTAGAAGGCACACTAAATCCAAATGTCATGCAATTACTTCATGACTCTGCAGTCTCTTAATCTTTCGTTCCACCTACAATCCGATTACCACAGATTGAGTAAACAAGACAACATAGAGAGAGTCAGTCATTAAATACATGCAATATATAACATGGTGGTTTTAAATAGAATAGTAACATTGAAACATTACTTCACATGAATTATACAGCATTACAACACAAATACATCCAAGAGAGTCCATATACCAGTATACCATGATCATACCACCCATACATAATATAAATCAAATGTCCATCAATCGAACCACAGTCAAAATCCACACTACAAGTGCACCACAATCCGTACCATGAAGGCAGGTCTAACTCCATGCCACGAAGGACATATCACATTTCCATACCACGAAGGGCAGATCACAATTCCATACCACGAAGGGCAGGTCACAATTCCATACCACGAAGGGCAGGTCACAATTCCGTACCACGAAGGGCAGGTCACAATTCCATACCACGAAGGGCAGGTCACAATTCCGTACCACGAAGGGCAGGTCACAATTCCATACCACGAAGGGCAGGTCACAATTCCATACCACGAAGGGCAGGTCACAATTCCATACCACGAAGGGCAGGTCACAATTCCATAATCAACATATTATCCACAACCGCAAGATTAACGCGGTTAAATAGGAAATTCATGATATTTCCCGTTTAATCGTGTTAATTCACCGAAACCATCCAACTAGTGAGTGTCGTTGGAGTTTCCAATGCTAAGATTCTAATACCACAAAGGTTAATGCTGCTCCCTCACCTGAGTAGCCGCTACTGCTTGCACTAAAGCTCAGTTGCGTTCTCCGCCGTCTCCTCCAACCTTAGGGTCTTTCAACCCAAAACAACAACAATCACAACACATCAATTTACATGTCAAGACAAGAATAATACTAACCAAAACTCATACAACACAAGACAAAATTATCCATTCAGTTCATCTTCAACAAAAAGGTTTCCTTAATGTTGCCATGACTTTACGGTTTTGAAAATAACTTCTCACATACTCATTTCGAAAAACAACTCATACTCTATGAGTTTTACAAGGTTTTCCAAAGAAAAACGAACCGAAAAACAAAGAGAGGGTTTATGGGGTTTTATCCCTAAACATGGAGAAGAAACCTCATTTAAAACGATGACATTCAACCATAAGAAAGGCTAGGTTAAGCGATTTACCTCTTCTTCGGTCTCCTCTTTGGCTCTAAGGGTGCACTACTTCTCAAACCGTCCCTATTCTCTTTGTTTTTCGAAACGTGACCTCTATTCTCACGTGGGACGTCTATTTTAGGTTTTCAGATTTTAGACTCTCGCTCAAGCGATAGATTTTCGCCCAGGCGAGAATCTCACAGTGGCGAATGTGAAAAAATGCACGTATCTGATATTTTTATATGATGTAATCGATTACATGCATAGTGTAATCGATTACATGCACGGTGTAATCGATTACATCATAAAAATTACCCATGTCTGATCAGATATCAGCATGTAATCGATTACAAGAACCATGTAATCGATTACACTATGTTAACAGCCCAAAATTGTCCTTTCTCGCCCAGGCGAGACAACTCTCGCTCGGGCGAGAATCCTCCAGTATAGTCCAGGATTTCACCTTCCCAGGGAATCCTTTCTCGCTCAGGCGAGAATCTCTCGCTCAGGCGAGAATCTCTCGCTCAGGCGAGAATCTCTCGCTCAGGCGAGAATCTCTCGCTCAGGCGAGAATCTCTCGCTCAGGCGAGAATCTCTCGCTCAGGCGAGAATCTCTCGCTCAGGCGAGAATCTCTCGCTCAGGCGAGAATCTCTCGCTCAGGCGAGAATCTCTCGCTCAGGCGAGAATCTCTCGCTCAGGCGAGAATCTCTCGCTCAGGCGAGAATCTCTCGCTCAAGCGAGACTTCCAGGACTGATATTATAATTTTAAAGACTCAAAAATCAGGATGTTACAAAGCGACTCCCAAGGAAGTTAAGAAATTATGCACACAATGCTTATCTTGTGGAAAATTCCAAAGGAAATTTAGTACTTGTTCGAAGGTGTTTTTGGGGTGAAGATATGATTGCGGCTAAGGAGGAGGAACCCAGCTTAACTGTGGATTTCAAAGTGTATAGACTATATTGTTCATCAAGCGGTAAAGAATTGAGAAAGGAGAGAATAAGAACATTAAATGGGGAAACCATATTCTTGGGGGATAATAATTCTATATCAGTTCCAACTTCAAAATATCCTCAACTTCAACCAAATTCAATTTATTACACTCATTATTATTATGCTGTGTATATAAGGAGTTATCAATTTGGGTCATGTGACACTGGCATCTTCAACTTCGAGAATGGAAAATTTGATAAATATTATGTTCCAAATTTCTCAACAAAGGGCATGCCTCCAATTTTTGTTGTTCCACACTAAAAGATATCATAATTTTTTGTTTGTTTATTATTTGTTTGTTTAAGTTTTAAGTTATATCCTTATTGGATGAAGGACTATGATATTGATTAAGTAGTTTAGATAAGTATTTATCTTCAATAAAATGCACACAAGTGTAGGACTAATAATCCTACCAGATAATAATCTTAAATTAGTAATTACTAATTCTCTATGTAAGGCATTGACCTTTTCTCATCAGAGTATGAATAAACTTGAGCATTGGTTATTTTCTTTATTTTCTTTTACTCTACCAATCACACCCTACCAGTAATAAACTTGAGCATTACTATTACCTAATTATCAAAGTGTTATTATGCTCCAATAAATCATTACTGAACACTTACACCATCTAAACTCTTCTCATAATCATTGTTATACATTTTTTATTTTTCAAAGCAGATTACATATAATTAGAAAAAATTGTCTTTGTTATTAAAAGTGTAGAATATAGTACAAGATTATCTTTACTTTATATTTAATATGGGGAACAATGATAATATGATTCAATTTGCATGAGCCCTATCATTCTTTTCTTATGAATAATTAAAGTAAAAATCACCAATAGAGGTTAGTCATACTCATAAGTCATAAGTAAAATGTCTCAACAAAATTCCTAGGAAATTAGCATGTGAATGAGGAATAAGGATGCTCTTCATATTAATTACGTGATACAAGTATATGTACTTTTGGAATGGAGAAGGGAAAATAAAGGGATACCAACAAATGCATGAATCTCTCCCACACAATAATAAACATTAGAGTGATTTAAAAAATTATAACTGATTAAAATTTATTAGCAGTGATAAATTATAATTTAATATAAATTATTTATTTTATGATCCACGAAAAATATTGTAAGTATATCAAGTAATCACTCAAATGTAAAAATATGTTTAAATTCAACTAGTATATCAAGTAAGCACTACATCACTACATGGATAATCAACTATTGTAGTTTAAATTCTAATATTTATCGATTTATTTGTTTACAAAATATTAAAGTTAAAAAAAATAATATGTTTTATAGATCTCACTACTTAATAGTTTGAATAAAATTACATGTGGCACCATGTTATATTAAATATTTAAGAATTCAAATTCATTATATATGTATGTATGTGTGTGGTTATTTTTATGTTAGGAAATTAGTAAGATATAGTTATATGTATGACTATATATCTTAGAATGACGTAACATCAAATTTTAATATTATAATTAATAATAAATAAATCAAATATAAGATTAAAGATTATTATTTAAGTAAATTTGAACAAGATGATTTAGCATAATTGTGGAGTCATACAATGAAGATCCTCCTATGATAATATGATTTCCTGATTGAATTAATCTACATATTTAACATGTATATTGGTTTATCAGATAATTAATGTGGGTAAATTAAATAACATATTTTATAATAATATTCATAAAAAATAAAAACCTGCAATAATTAAGGTAAAAGTTAGCATTTGTAAGTCATCTTAAATTAAATACTTTAAAATTTCAATAAAATAATGATTTTGATTACTTTTTATATTTATTAGATTGATGAGTTATAGTGTCAAGGTATTGAGAAGTATTCATAAGAAATTGAATGATAATTATAAGACGTTGCCTTTGTTATTAATAGAATAGTAGTGTAAGATGGTCAATTTATGTTCACTTTATATTTATAGATGAAGGAGAAAATGTGATAATTTGATTTAATTTGTATGAGCCACATTCAAATAAATCACCATGGTTATTATGTATCATCTATTATTTATCTTTATTTTTTTAGATTAAAAATAGTTGATATATGAATGGTAAAAGATGTAACAATATATAAATATCCTTAGTTTATAGATATTAAACTAATCATTAGTTTATACATATGTGTTTATACATATTAAAAACTAGTTAAAGTGGAAAATTATATTGACCTACATAATACAAGTTGGTCTATACTCATAATTAATTTGTGTGAGAGGAAAATTCCCACAAGATTGTCATGTTATCTTTTTTGTCTTTATTTCTCATGTAATAAATACTTTCACTTCACATTAATTATGTGATCATATAAGTACACTTTGGACCAGAAAATGAGAAAGAAAACACAAGATAGTTAACAAATACATGTACTTCAAACACATAATAATAATATTGAGCATAATTTTAGAATGGGAGAGGATCTATTTATTCCAAGACTAAGTTTTTTAAACTTACTTCACATCTTAACTTTCAATTTTAGGGAAATGTAATGGTTTGAATTAGTGAGTAGATCTAAACCATTGGATTTCCCTAGAATTTATGGCTAAGATGTAGAGTAGATCTAAAAGTTACTTCACATCTTACTCTTGGATAAGGATGGCAATGGGTACCTGGATTCGCGGGTACCCGCAAAAATACTCGCAATGGGTCGGGTCTGGGTCCATGTTTTGGACCCGTGGGTAATTGAGACACGCGATTTTAAGACCGTTGTTAGATGGCTCTAGTCCGGCTAATAAGGTACCCAAACCCGTAGGTACCTGAACCCGCAATTTCTTCCTATATATATAACAACCTAATTGTAATATCATATTAATTCATAAATGTGATTGCTATGTTGTTAAAATGTGATGTTATGTTGTTAAGTAATGATATTATGTTGCTAATTCATATGTATGGTGTAATGTTATGTTAATCGAAGAGTTCATACTAAATGAATTTTTCATCCTAATGTTTGTAAGAGTAAAATGAGCTGTGTTTAATAGTCAAGTTGCGTTGTTTTTTAAACTTTAAATTAAGTTTTGTATTTTTTTCTCTTGTTAATTGTCTAAATAACATATAAGATCGTATGAAACAAATATACAAATGCACAAATGTTTACAATTATTTTTAATATTTTTGAATTTATGGGTACTCATAGATCCATTGGGTACCCAACGTCCCATAGGTAGCATACCCAATGAGTATTAGTATGTGTCTGTGACGGGTCTGGGTCAAAAAACAAAGCAGTGGGTCAGGTTTGGGTAATGCACTACCCAGACCCATTCAGACTGATTGTCATCCCTACTCTTGAAGGCAATGAATCCTTTTCTTTTAAAATAGTAGTTCATTAAAATTAAGTAACAGAAATAAATCATAATTTAATAAGTTGTTTATTTTATGATGTAGAAAACTATTACACTACATTTTATAAATTTCACTCAAACTTAATCCAATATGAGAAAAAAAAATGGGGAGCAACTCAAATGTTATTTTACTAGTGGCGCCCTTTTTTATGGAATAAGAAAAGATTGCATAGCATATTCTAAAGGGATAGATCCTATTTCAATCACGAATTGTATAACAGAAAATATCCAAGATCAAGTTTACTTTTTTCTTTGTGCTACATAAGTGTGCGTTTTGTATGTATTAAGTTTTTAGTTTTAGTTTATAAACTGTGAGATTATAAACTATTAGATTATAAATTGTTAAGATTATAATTTGTTTATGTTTGGGTACCTTAGCTGAAAATTGAATATAAACTA